TGTACTTTTAATACCACCAGGACAGACTAGCATCTGGTGAAGCAGCATGGAGTAGAAGCAGCACCTGGTAGAATATCATAGAATTGGATTTGTTTCTGAACAGGTGTGGCACTCCTCATGGGGCTCTCAGAAATAATTAAATAGGGTATGTACTTTGCAGGAGGCTGGAGTTTCTGCACAAGCAGTTGAGGGCCAGAGCCAGAGCAATTTTAGTTACATGGAAACCCCTGATTTTAACTCAGAATTTTTTCACTGCATCGTGAGTAGAAAGCTATAAAGTGTAGAGGTATATATGCCCAGTATCTTCTCACCGCCAACTTTTAATTCAGCTAACAATAAAGAACCATCAAATTGTTTTTAGTAGAACCATCAACAAAATTAAAGCAAGATGTTTGAATTACAGCTCTTATAGGTTTCATTAGGATAAGCTGAGAAAGAGAAAACCATAGTCTGGGGAATAATTAGACTGTTGCTACACTTTACTAGTAAGGTAATTAGCACTCAGCTACAGATGAATGAAGTAGGAAAGGGGGATTTAATATCAGCAAGACTCAATAGATGAGATAATATTCAGTAAATAAATTAGGGTAAAAGTCAAAGATGCTTCCAATTTTTCTGTCATGGCAGCTAGAAAAGCTATTGACCCAACTAAGAAAAACAGAGAATTTTGAAAGAATAATCATTTTGAGTGTTAGAGAAATATATTTTTGATTTATTAAGCCTGTGACTTTTAGTGTCTGCCATGATGAAGTAACCACTTCATCTAAAGCCGACCCAATCAGCCTGTGATTTTGATTAGGAGATTGTACCTTAATCCCTTTAATTATCTCACTTTAAAAGATTTTTTCTCATCTGAATTTTTGTATAACAATTATTGCTTATAGTACATATTTAGTATTATTAACTGGCTTATATTCTCAATAATTGTTACATGTGAGTATATCTTATTCCCAAAACAGATTTTGCCCTCCCAAAGAGTAAAACCAATGTTTTACCCTTGTACCACCATAACTCACTCTCTGGCACTATCAACAACTCCATACTGACTAAATATCCTTTTTTTATAGTACATGTTTCAGATACCCTTTGAAAAATATAAAAGATACATCAAATTTATGATCAATATGTTAAGACATGAAGTCAGAATGCCATAAAACAATAAAAAGGAACTAAAAAGAATTTTCAGATATCAAATATAAAATAGCATGAATAAACAATGCATTAAAAAGAACAGAATGATAAAATTGAGGAAATCTCTTATAAAGTAAAACAAAAAGATAAATAAAATTAGAGAAAACATAATAATTATTAAAAAATAAAAATAGAAAAATTTTCAAACCTGAAGGACCTACGTTTCTACATTGAGTATGATTACTACCAAGTACCCAGCCCAATAAATAAAGCATGACCCACTCAAAGATATCAAATACTAAAACGTCAAGATACCAAGCCAAGAGTAAAGAGAAGATCAAGTAGACTTTGGAGAGAAGAAACATGCTATACACAAAGCTTTTGAAATTTGATAAAATCCAACTTCACTCCAATCACCTGGAAGTTAGAAGACAATTGATGAATGACTTCAAAATGATGAAAAGGCATTTCCAAAACTGACTTTTATATCCAACCAAACTATAAAACATAAAGATAGAATAAAGATTTTTTTCCATACTACAAAAATATACTTCCAGCCCTAAGTTGTGTGGCACAGTTGGTTGGGTATCTTTCCACAAAGCGAAAGGTCATGGTTTGATTCTGTCAGGGCACCTGCTTTGGTTATGGGTTTGGTCTCATAACCAAGGGACTCATGTGGAAGGCAACTGATTGATGTTTCTCTCTCACATCGATGTTTTTCTCTCTTTTTCTCTCCCTCCCCCTCTCTCTAAAAATAAATACATAAAATCTTTAAAAAACTGTGCTTCCTACGCACTTTTTCTCAGGGAGTTAAGAGTATGTTCAACCATATTGAAGAAAGAAGACAGGAAACCCAAGAAAGTTGATTCCTTTAAGGAATCAACATGTAAGAGAGGAAGCAGGAAATTCTAAAACAATAATGGAGAGAAATCCCTGTATGACAGCTGTGCATCAGGCCTGTAAACAACAAGTCCAAATCAGAGCAAGAGGTAATTGTTCTGGGAGGGATATAGCCAAAATTAAAACGGGTCTGAGAAGTAGCTTGATATGGGTCAGTCTACAGCTTTGATACTGGTCAGTCTGTGGCTGAGTTAGTGGTAGATGTAGAGTTAAGCACACAAACAAAATGACAAGGCAACTGTTAATTTCAAGAAAAACAAAAAGTTTAACAAGAAAAGGAATGTGATCACAGCCACAGTAAAATACCTCATTCACTGGTGAATAATATTCACATATATCTAATGCTTTAAACTTTGAGTACTTTAATTAAATTTTTTTGAAATAATTATGAGGTTGGAGAGAGAAGAGTAAGAATGGTGTGAGAGAAAAGAACTAAATTCTCATCTTCCATGGGAATAAATCAGTAAATAATATATCTACAACTTTTAAATGGAGAAGTCACAGTGTACTGTTACTCAGAAGTACAGAGATAAGGAGCTAAAGAACTTGTAGCAGTTGAATGGGACAGCTTCTAAAAGAATAACTCAAAAGTGAGGAGAAAAATTAATGACATGATTAATTAATGTTACCCCAATACATTTAATTTTTCTTTAGACCTTAAATAGTACCAATTCTTCTGATCAAAGAAGGCCACAGCAGTTAAGATTGTATTACTTGATTTTATTTTACACTACATGGTGGGCACAATGTAATCCTCCTTAATGAAGTTGACAATGAGCTTCACTCAGAACATTTTTCATAATGCATAATTTAAAAAAACATTATTACAACTTATTCTGCAATGCAAGTATACAATAGCTTGGAAAACAACGTTTAGAAAACAAAATCCAATGTAAAAGTCATTTAAAAAAACTAGAACACTATGAGTTTTATATAGCTCTGATTTTATGGTTTTCTTACTGCATTATCAATGTCAGAAATCTATTCCTTCAAATGCTCCACTGATTGAGATTTAAAGAAATACCTGTTCCTTCTGGTTTTATTTCACCTTCTGGATCCATCCAATATTCTCGAATATCAATTAGGACTTTTCAAGTTCTGAACGCCAGTGTATCTCATTTTCTTGTCTGAAACATGTTATCATCTCTGCTGCTGCTTGGTGCTCTGCTTAGAAAATGACAGGGCTCTTGAAGTGCCACCTCTTTTGCTTCTTTGTAGGTTTTTCTGAAGTAACTTGCTTTTTCCCTCTTTAACTTTTTGTCAACTTCATTGTCAGAACTGCTGACACAAAAGCTTCAAGAAACAAGTTCCTTTGACTCAGGCATTGCTCCCTCCTGCCTCCTAACAGCCCGCTGCTGGCTCACTCACAACTCACTGAAAAACTGTAATTTGAAAAATTGTATTTGTTGCTTACGGATTGTAATTATGTTACTGAAAACCAAAACACAAAGCTTCTAAATTCTACAGTCTGAATAAGCTTTCTGTTACCTTTTCTAATTTTCCTCTCTTCCGAGACTTGAATAAACATCATAATATTGTTGCCAATGTAAAAAGGTGGAAGAAGCTCCATTGTCTGCCTTCTCAGGAAACCACACTTGCCAAGCAAGTGTTATAAATACAGCAATAAGCCCTGGCCGAGTGGCTCAGTCGGCTGGAGCATCCTTCCCAGCTCCAAAAAGGTTGCCGTTTGATCAGGTCGTGGGACATACCTGTGTGGCCGGTTCCATTCCCCTCAGGGCATGTGGGGGAGGCATCCCATCCATGTTTCTGTCTGTCTCTCCCTTACTCTCTCTAAAAATCAATAAAAACATATCCTTGGGTGAGGACTAAAAAATAAAAATATAGCAATAAGAAAAAACCTCTTGACAGTAAAAACCACGCCCTTTCTCTTAATCACCATACCCTCCCCAGTGCCAAACACAGTATTCAGCAAAATACTTGGTGCTGAAATGTGTGAAATGAGTGAATGAAACACTACTTTGCAATTTTGTCTAGCATTTCTAACCAGAAGAGATACAAAACATTACATTCTATTAAGTATCTGGAATTCATATGTCTGACCACGAAGGAAGAGCTGTGTTGTCAATTTGTTTCCCGCAGATACTAGAAAATATTGAAAGATTTAAAAAGAGGGGAGCCCTTGTATGGAACAGGTTTAAATGGGAACCAAGTCTATTTTGTCACCAAGAAAACTTCCAACTCACTCTGCCCTCTCTGATAAATTGAATGGCCTTAAAAGGGATCAGTTCAAATTAGAAAAGTCACTTTTTCAGGAACCAGCTCTTCCTACACACGCAAAGTGAGGCCAAGTTAACAAAACCGCAAAGACTTGGCTTATTCAAGAACAAGTTAATTTACTATTATTGGCCTAAATTGCCCGCTATTTTTTTTTTCCCTGTGAAGGCCAATATCCACAACCGCAGGGACGCCTCACACAGGGCGAACGTTCCCACCCGTAGCTGGTGGGAGTACACTGTTTCTTGGCTAACGAGGGAGATTAGAATTTCTGCAGGGTAGTACAAGCTGATCCTAGCCTTTGAAATCTGCATTTTGTAAGAAATTCCTTCACTTTTCCATATGACAAGGCAGGGAAGCAAATCTGAACCCTCCCAAGGCGAGCTCTTTTCTAAATACAGCAACCACCGCCAATTCCTCATTTCCGAGCCCAAGGCCAGGACACACAACACCCAGCTCTTCAGGATCTCAGCCAAGCTGCGAGCCAGCTGCCTTGCCTTTAAATAAGCCGGTTGTGGTCGAGTTGCCCCAGAGTTCAACTTCCGGTCACATAGTGAGAGGATGTTTTCCTCCCGGCCACTCCCGCTACGCCACGCCTTCCGAGCGCGCGCTCCGGCAGGGCCGCTGGGTCCGCCGTCACCCGGCGGCGCGCAGGCACGCGCAGACACGCCCAGAAGTGGTTGACCGCGCGGCGGCGTGCGCGCGCTCCCGGTGCCCTTCCCCGTGACGTGCCAGGCCGCGGCAGTGCTAGGGCGCTGTAGCTGCCAGTGCCGCTGTTATGGCGTCGGAGGTGCTGGCGGAGGAGAACCCGCCGCGGTCTCTTTAGAGCAAGGGGCGGGCGGCTGGGTATGGAGAGCGGCCCCGAGAGTCTGCAGCCGCTAGAACACGGGGTGGCCACCGGGCCAGCGCCAGGGACAGCTTCTCCGCAGGAAGGACGACATGAGACCGGGCTTGCCGCTGGGGATGGTCTTGAAGTATGGGCGGCGGAGAGCAGCGGCGGGAATGGGCAGGGGGCGGCGGCCGCCAGGAGAAGCCTCCCGGACACGGTCTCTCCCACCAGCGCTTCGCAGGTTCCTGGACCCTGCAGCTCCTTACCCGGCTTGGACTTGCAGGAGAGCGATTTAGAGAGCCCTGATGCCCAGAAGGTGCCTCTGAGAGGGCAGCACAAGGTGACCGCTGCCCCGGAGACAGCCGAGGCCGGAGCGGGCCAGGGGTTGGGTCCTGCTGGAGACTCCAGCGCCCGGCCTGATCAAGAGCCCAGCAGCGCCGGCGGCCTCAGCAGCAGTTGCAGCGACCCAAGCCCTCCTGGGGAATCGCTGAGCCTGGACTCCCTGGAGTCGTTCTCTAACCTGCATTCTTTCCCCAGTAGCTCCGAGTTCAATAGTGAGGAAGGAGCTGAGAGCAGGGTCCCCGAGGAGGAGGAGGAGGGTGGCGCACCGGTGTTGCCCGGGGCCGTGCCTCTTTGCCGCGGGGAGGAGGAGGAGGAGGGAGGGGAGGCAGCTCAGGTACTTGCGGCCTCCAAGGAACGCTTCCCGGGACAATCTGTCTATCACATCAAGTGGATCCAGTGGAAGGAAGAGAACACACCCATCATCACCCAGAATGAGAACGGACCCTGCCCTTTGCTGGCCATCCTCAATGTTTTGCTTCTGGCTTGGAAGGTACATTGTGCAGCTTCCTATTTCCTACCGCTTTGGGGGAGGAGGTAAACGGGGTAGGGGAGCTACTGCATATCAGCTGATGGCTTCCTCCTTTCTTTCCTCATTCATCAGTTCCCTTTTCTTACTATATGCAATTCATTCTGGGACTCCTTTGTTTCAAGAATTGCTGGCAACCTCAGGTCTCTCTTGTGTTTAAATAAGAGTTTAATATACTTACAAAAAACAAAACAAAACAGTACTTAGAGCATCCTAAACCCTACGCTCATTTTTAAACTGTATTTTTTCTATGTTATTTCTTCTTACTGACTGTATCACATATGCGAAATATGAATAATAGGGGAAAATAATCTTCAGAAGTTATCATCAATCCATGATGTCAGGGACCAAGTCCTAATGATTTTGTTTAGTCTATTTTTCAACTAATGCCTGCTCCATTTGGGTGTGGGTACTTAAAGAAATGGTGATAGGGAAGATGTGGCTCCTAAGACAAACTCCATTTAAGGAAAAACATTGGTCTGAGGCTCAATTATCATAATTTCTTGGTTTTCAAAGATTACGTTTTCTATTAATGCATGAGTTTTATTTGCCTCATTTCTTTGGCTCTTCTTAAATAGTTCCCCATTATCACTGGTAACCATGCATCAGAATGTGTTAAGGGAGCTAAAATTGTAACAACTAAAATAAGAAAAGATATATTCAAGATAAAGGAGCATAAGAGGGAAGGTTCTTCAAAAGTACGTTGAGGACTCAAAGTGAGTTACCTATAAATGGAGTCTTATTCGAGCTGGCAGTTTTAGGTGCTGGGAAGATAAATCTCGTAGCATAATTTATTTTCAAATTGATGATTATTTCTATAGATAAAATGTTACCTAGAAAAAAATAACCTGGAGTATTCTGACCAGTTAGGGAGGAAATCAAGTTAAGAAAATAGTATTTACTACATGTCTTTGTCTTCCTGTTACTGCAAAGGGTCGATGCAAAAGATGTAAGATTAGAAACCTTATCAGTATCTGGTACATACTGGCAGTTACACATTTTGAATGAAAACTGTGCTTATCCTGAAAGAGCTGTCAGGCTACTTGGGTTTGCAGCATTTATTTACTTAAAATTATTAAGAACAATGCAAAACAATACAATATAAATACTAAGTTATAGGAAACAAATTAAAATGCATTAGGTATCCCAAAAGGAGAAATTTTACTTTGGTCCGGCCTAGTTCCAGAGAGCTTCATGGAATTTTTGGGTCTTGAACCAAACTTTTCATGAAAAATAGAATTTAAAATAACAAGGAAATGGAATTCCCGGGACATAGAAGAATATAAACAAAAGGGGGAAAATAGAATGGAGTGTGCGTGTGTTGGATGACAGAAGTGGTCAGTTCATATTAGAGAATAATAGAAAATAAAATTGAAAAGGTAAAGTAGAGCCACTTGATGCAGACCCTTGAATGTTAGACTAGGGAATTAGACTTGATCATGTGGTCCAAAGTTTCTCATCTTTTTGTAGGAAGGTTGTAACAGTTTCCTTTAGGCTTGTCGTTCTTCTTAAGTTCTGTATAGCACTACCGGAGTTCAGGGGAAGGAACAGGTACTGTGGAATATTTGGGGATAGATGAGCATTAAACTGACTCTTTGAGAGACATGACTTCAAGTGAATGATGAAATGTGTGAGGGCCTAGAAATACAAAGTCCAGTAAGGTACAAGTCTGCCCTCATATAGTTCAGTATTAGTGGGGAGAGAGACATGAATAATAATCATGGTGCAAAGTGAGAAGTTATAAATGTGCTATGGAAATACAGAGAAAGGGGTAATTGGGGATGTGATGGGTCAAGAGAAAGCTTTAAAGAATTGGTAACTTATGAAGTAGTTCTGAAGAATGAGCGAGAGAAGGCCTTCCAGGCAGAGGGAATAGTGTATTCAAAGATGCTGAAGCAGAAAAAGGTTTGTTCTACTTGGGGAGTACAGTGGAGGAGGGAAAGAAAATGAAATAGCGGAAAATAAAATTAATAGATAAGGTTAAACTGTTAATAAATAGGCATGCTAATGACTTTGGAAATTATTTTATAAACCTGTGGTTCTTAGCTTTCTTTCTGTCTCCAGGCTATTGCTGCACTCGACAGTTAATAATAAGTAATCTTCAATGATTGGGGCAAGGATTAAAAGAATCAAGGTCAGATAGAGGAGTGGTTTTTTTTTAAGATTTATTTATTTTTAGAGAGAGGGGAAGAAAAGAAGAAGGAGAGGGAGAGAAATATCGATGTGAGAAAGAAACATCAGTCAGTTGTCTCCCATATGTACCCCAACCAGGGACGGAACTGCAACCCAGGCATTTGCCCTAACCTGGAATCAAACCAGCAACCTTTCACACCCTACTGACTGTTCCTGGCCAGAGGAGTGTACTTAAAGTGAGCTACAGGTGTTAGAGGTCAAAACTACTTTCATAATAATACTAAGATGTTATTTGCCTTTTCACTCTTATTCTCTCACAAGTGTCATTGCAGCTTTCCAGGCTGCGTGATGTATGATGACATCATTGCTCTGACAGTTAATGGAACGTGTGCTGTGTATTTTTGTGTTTAAAATTTTCTTCAGTTTTCATTTTCAGTACAGTAAGTATTGATAGATATAACCCACATAGGCAAAAGCTCTTGAGGATCTTTAATAATTTTAGGACCATGGAGGGCCCTGAGACAAAAAAATTTTGAGAAATACTATAGTACAAAACAATAGTAAAAAGTATATAAAGGTACTTGTCAGATTTCAGAGGACCCCATCACCAGGGTATTTAAACTTAATATGTAGCTGATAATGGGGAGCCCTTATAAATTACTGGGCAGAGGAATGACATGGTGAAAGTGATCTTTTCATTTGAGATTAGACTAGAAGTAAAACTACAATGAGTGTTGCAGAAAGAATTGATGAGGATAGCTCTTTTGGATGGGAAATTCTTTGCCCCTTTTCTTTGATGTCACAGCCTAAATGATGAATTGACTGCTACCTGGATATAGGAAATGAAGTAGGTGACACCACTTTTTCTGATCTGGGCAATGGAGGATTTTGCTGTCATTCAAAAGGTAGAGGAAGTGCTTTCTATTTTAGCTTTTTTAACATTTCATTTTATTTTTTTTTATTCTTACCCAACAACATGCTTATTGATTTTACAGAGATGGGGAGGGAGAGAGAAAGGGAAAAAAACATCATTGTGAGAGAGAAACATCAATTGATTGCCTCTAGCACGTGCCCCAGTGGGGACCAAACCCACAACCTAGGCATGTGCCCTAACTGGGAATCAAACTGGCAACCTTTCAGTTCTCAGGACAACACCCATCCAACTGAGCCACACTGGCCAGAGCTGGAGAAGGTGTTTTAGATGGGAAAGTTGATGTCAAGGTTTGATTGTGTCAGGTTGGAAATGTCTCATAGGACATAAAAATGTAAATGTTCATTATGCCTCTAGAAACATGGACTGGGTCTCAGGAAAGAGGTTAAAATTACTGAGAAAAATTGAATTGGGGAAATATTACATAGATGTAAGGATGGTAGCTATGAGAATAAATGAGAGTGCTGAGTAAATAGTTGTCAACTTTTCCACCCCAATATATGTGAGGAACTACAAATTGCCAGCATGAACATCTTCCCTATTTCCTCACTTTCTCTTCCACCCCCATTCTTTAGTAGATGTAGAGAAAACAATAAAGATTAAACTGTAGGGAGAGAGGAATGCTAAATATTAAGGAAGAGAGGGTATAAAAGAAACCAGTATAGACACAATTTGAGATGTGAATAAGAACTAGAAATAGAGAAATGTCATAGTAGTCTGGGAGAAAAACTATAATAAAAAAGTGGTTAGTTATCATTGTGAAATGAGACAGCATCAAGGAACTGGTGGAGTGGGAAAGATTTTGCCTAAAAGGACAGGCGTGAGGACAAGGTCCCTGAAATGTCAGGATAATACAGACTCCTCAGCATAGGTGGTAAAGTTCTTTTTAGAGGAAGGGAAAAACAGTCTCATTTTCTGAAGTAATGGAAGGAATTGGACAAGGCAGATACATTCAGAGACAAGGTTACATTAAGATCGAGAGGCAGACGGAAATTGCCTCATTTTCCATTTTGGTAGAATAACAGTTGACCTCATCCGTAATAGCTATCAAACTTGTTAGTAATTAAGAAGGAAAGAGATTGTAAAGTATGAGGGGTTGGTTTTGTGAGAAAAGTACATTGTATTTAAAATATATTTTCATCTCATTGGAGATTATGCCTAGGAATTTGATGCATAAATAAGAAGTAGTGAGTAACAATGAATAAATTAGGATGTTTTAAAAAAAACTTAGTATATCAATTTTGCTTTATTGTTGTCATTGTTTTTCTCCTAGTAGTTCTCTTATACCTGGAAATAGAAGCAGGAAAAATGACTAGTTAGGGTTATCAGGGGTTGGGCTTTTCAAGGTTTGATTCATGGAGACTCAGTGGAATCAGAGTTAAAAGTAAAACAGGTGATCGTTTCTTTTGGTGGCTGATGTAATGATAAAATCAGTAAACTGAACATATTGGGAGAAAATAAGTGATTTAAAGGAAGTAAATGCTGTGGTTCTGAATGAGAAATGAAGTTAAAATTATCAAACAGGTTAAGTACCAAACTGGAAATGTTGGGAGTTTTAATTAAAAATATTGGCTTTGGACTGATGGTGAGTAGGTAGGTGATCGATCATTCACAATCTGTAAAATAGTTGAGATGTGATAATCCAAATCAATTAATTAATTAATTTGATTTTAATTGACTCATTAAATTAATTCAAGGTCAAATTTCTAAGTTTTTAATTGACATCAGGTTGTTTACTCAAGTTCATGTCTTGGAATGCATGTTCAGTTTGCTTCTTTACCTTAGACTATACTTGGTGTTTTTATAGTTTCCTTTCATTTTTCATTTTATCAGTCAAAAATAATGTCATTTGTAGGTATTTGGAGGGCTGTGACCCATTTACCATAATTAGATTAATTAT